ATATCCATCGTTGGATACGCAGAAATTGTATTATAAACATCCAATTGGTGAGTTTATAAAATAAAGTTTTGGTCCCTGAACAGTTGGAAAAGTTTTCAGAAATCGCCCGCGAAATTTTGAGCCCAAATTTCAAATATTCGTTTCCATTTAAAATGGAGATTATGATGTCAACTACTGGAATTTCAAGACAGTATACGTGGTTCATTGGTGGACCCAACTCGTATAGCTCCTTTAAAAATAAGCTAACGGCGAAGATTTGTGAAGGCGATAATTTTCAGTTGTTCTATTTGAGTGAGTTTTTTATGGAATTCTGAAAATTTATAGATATTCAAAAATTCGGAAATTCAAAACTCAAAATTTCCAAAAACCCAGAAACTTCTAGAAACTCAAAATTTCCAGACTTCGACCGTCGCTACATGGAGATCCATGACAACCTGTCATTCAAACAAATGTGCATCACTCACGGAGCATTCATGCGTGGATATCATTGTCCATATAATGATACGGTAGCCAAAATCCTATGTATTCCATGTACAACCTCACTAGAAGAATACATTTTTGACCGGGAATCGGATATGGTCATGGGAAAAGATAGTTGGGTGAGTTCATTTAAGATTTGCAGAATTTATGAATTTCTGAATTTCTGAATTTCTGAATTTCTGAATTTCTGAACTTCTGAATTTCCGAACTTCTGAATTTCTGAATTTCCGAACTTCTGAATTTCTGAATTTCTGAATTTCTGAATTTCTGAATTTCTGAATTTCTGAATTTCTGAATTTCTGAATTTCTGAATTTCTGAATTTCTGAATTTCTGAATTTCTGAATTTCTGAATTTCTGAATTTCTGAATTTCTGAATTTCTGAATTTCTGAATTTCTGAATTTCTGAATTTCTGAATTTCTGAATTTCTGAATTTCTGAATTTCTGAATTTCTGAATTTCTGAATTTCTGAATTTCTGAATTTCTGAATTTCTGAATTTCTGAATTTCTGAATTTCTGAATTTCTGAATTTCTGAATTTCTGAATTTCCGAACTTCTGAATTTCCGAACTTCTGAATTTCTGAATTTCTGAATTTCTTAATTTCTGAATTTCTGAATTTCTGAATTTCCGAACTTCTGAATTTCCGAACTTCTGAATTTCTGAATTTCTGAATTTCTGAATTTCTGAATTTCTGAATTTCTGAATTTCTGAATTTCTGAATTTCTGAATTTCTGAATTTCTGAATTTCTGAATTTCTGAATTTCTGAATTTCTGAATTTCTGAATTTCTGAATTTCTGAATTTCTGAATTTCTGAATTTCTGAATTTCTGAATTTCTGAATTTCTGAATTTCTGAATTTCTGAATTTCTGAATTTCTGAATTTCTGAATTTCTGAATTTCTGAATTTTTGAATTTTTGAATTTTTGAATTTTTGAATTTTTGAATTTTTGAATTTCAGTGTGGAAGTTTGTCGAAATCCAATCGAAGGAATTTTCGTGTCTCCAAGTGCCAAAAACAAATTTGGTGAGTTTCGAAAATTTTGAAATTTTCAGACAAACGAAATTTTCAGCTTGGTTCGGTGTGATTTTCGTGCGGAAAGGCATTTTCGGCGGCGGAATTTTTCGTTTCAATATCGAGATTCCATTGGAATTTCCAGAGAGTTCTGAACTTCCAAAAGTGATTTCAATCAGACGATTTTTCATCCGTTGATCTGTATAAAATCCAAAGAACTATGTCTGAAACGCTCGTTTCCAGATGGATGGAAATCGGAAAAACACAGTCTAAGTAGAGTTTTAATTGTTTTACAGGTAAGCGAGATTGAAAAACGTTCTAGAACCTTCTAAAGTCTTCCAGAGATCCTTTAACTCCTATGACGTGGATTCTGACAAATGCATAAATCCAGAAGCTTCGGTACTCTACAAAGAGCATCGTGACAAGTTCCGAGAAATCGCCAAAGAGTGCGTAGAAGCCAGTCGAGCAATGGTATACGATGACGTGGCAGAACAAGAGGATGATTCTAATGGGATACGGTAGGTGAACAAATGTTAAGAACGTTTTCAAAACAAATTCTTTCCAGACTCCTACCATGGGACGCGCTGATCCATAAAACGGCTCGGGAGAAGATGATTCTGGTCGGAGAAGGTTCTAGAAGCCAGGGAACTGCTGCGGGCTTCCGAAGAGACCATGTATTCTCAAAAATGGGACTTCAAGTTAATGAGATTGTCGGAAGAAGCTATCCGATGGCGTATTCATGGTTCGATCCGGAGGAAATGACTGTCATCACAAAATATGATGATGTGCAAGCGTCACAGGTACGGAATTAAAAGGTTTTTGGGTTTTCAGATTTTTTAGACTGATTTTGAGCAATTTTAGACAAATTTCGGACCTGTGTTAGGTCTTTGTTGGCTATTTTGAGCTGCCGTTATTCCTCTAATAGAAGCCCATCCAAATCGTATACTTTGAGCTCAATTATCTCGGTTCCTATAAGAGATGGTAAAACACTGTCAACTGATAACATGGTGATGATATTATGATAAAAATTTTATCAGTTGAAAACTTTTTGATATCTTTCAAAAGAGCCGTGATATAAGGTCTCGAAGTTGGCGGATAAATTTACCCAAATTTTTCGGATGAGTTGGAGGAAAGAATTCTTTCAGTGATAAATTGATATCTCAAGACGTGGCACGACAATAGAAGATATTCTGAAATTTGAAGAATGTGTTTTTAATTTCTAAAATTTTTGAAAAACCTTCATAAAAACACATCCATCTGAAAATTTTTCCTCCTCTTCCACATGGTTTTTATAGCTTTCCCATTGATTTTTTTGAAGGTCCAAGAAGTTTTTATGTTCAAATTTTGGTCTGAAACAAAAAGTTTAAGAAATTTCTTACAAAATACCGTAGCCCACTTTGAGACCTTATATCTTGGTCCCCCTAAAAGGTACCAAAATTGTGTCAACTGATAAAATGTTGGTGATATTATGATAAAAATTTTATCAGTTGGAAACCTTTTGATATCTTTCAAAGGAATTAATATAAATGGATTCCAAGTTAAAGATCCTATTTCAAGATCTTTCCATTTTGAGCTAATTTTAAACGATTTCCAGCTATGTTTTAACTATTTTAAGATGTTAAATTCCAGATTTCGCCTGTCACCAGCGCCCGTTTGGATCGCGAAAAACACGGAATCGAACCTTTGGATTTGAGCATAATTTCAGTAGAAGAATCTGGAAAGAAATTATAACAATTTTAAGATTTTCGGAATTTTTCAATAAATTTTAAAGTCTGAAAATCTGAAAGCTTGAACATCAGATTAAACTAAAATACACAAAAAATGTAAAACGTTCAAAACCGCCCTCATAAAATTATACAATCGAAAAATTGTGATATTTAGACAGATGGCTTGAAATTGACAAATAGAAAAAATGAAAAAAAAATTGAGCCCACGATTTTGTGATCTGGGATTTTTGTGATTTGGATGAATTGGTTAATTGGTCTCAATTAAAATTAAAAGGAGCCGAGATAATAGGCCTCAAAGGAAATATATAGATTGAGCTCATATTAGAGCAGATACGGTAATGATTCTTGATTCTTTATTCTTGTTTTGAAACTTTTAAATTTGAAAAAAAATAAAATTTAACCATTTTTGGACTGATTGAAGCTAATTGAAGAAGTTCAGGTTTTTGTAAAATTTTTCTTCTAAATGACAATTCTCAACTACTACTATTTTGTTATGTCATCAGATAAGCCTTCCACGTCTTCTACAGTAACCCAAAAGGATACTACAGTAACACCTTGTACTGTCTGTGGTGACGTGGCAAATGGGAAAAGATACGGTACATGGGCATGTCTAGGGTGTATCGTGTTCTTTCGGAGGACCGTTTTGAGGAAAATGAAGTATAAATGTCAAAGAGATGGAAGATGTGAGATTGCTGTAAATGAGTTGGTTTTTTTTGAGTTACTGTAGGAGCATTTGGATTACTGTGGTTTTCAAAAACCAGATTTGTTTGCCGGTCGTGTAGGTTTGGAAAAATGTCTAGCTGCTGGAAGGAATCCTGATGGTAATAAGTCAAAAATTCAGAAATTCAAAAAACAGAATTTCAGAACTATATAGATTTTCATTCAAAAGTTCAAAATCTCGGAATTTCAGGATCTCGGCATTTGAGAATTTCCGAATTTCAGGATTAAGTAATTCAGATTTTCAGATTTTCAAAGTTTCAGCAAAATGTCTAGAATGAATCCTGATGGTAAGAAATTCTGAAGTCTGAAATTCTGAAATTCAGACTTGACCCACAAAGAGCTAGAAGAATTTTACTCTGTGATCTGCGATGTCGGGACAGATGAACAAATAAAAATGACATAAGATCAAAAAGCGGAAACAACATGTAATTGAAATTGTTGTTTTTACGCGCGGGCGTGTGAACACCAGTATCAATCGGAAGTATATGGGATAGAAACAAGGATTAAATCTAGTTTGGAATCTGAATTGAATCTAAATTGAATCTGAACAAATAAACGCTTATTTTTAGGACATCCGGTGGTCAGAGTACGCCTACACAGCATTTTTTAGAGATTATAGAATGGATAAGCTTATTAAGTATGCAGAAATGCTACATAGAGGCAAATATTGGAAAAAAAACTTGGAAATGCTCAGAATGATCTTGCTCAGAATGATCTAAAGAAACTTAACACTTTCCAGGTACTGTAACTTCCCTAGGATCCTGAAAACCTTGAAACTTTTTGGGAATTCAAGAATCCCAAACAACTTTGAAATTATAATAATCTGGATAATTTTTAGAATAGCAAGAAACCCGAAAATCCTCAGTATCAGAGTCATAGACTTATTGACTTACAGACAAAAAAACCGAATCTCAAAAGTTCAATTATTTTCGATAAATGAAATTGAAACATACCATATTTCGTCAAATAGAAGCCCACCGAAACCGTCAACTTTGAGCTCAATTATCTCGGTTCCTCTGGGAGATATCTAAAATGTGTTACCTGATAAAATGTTTGTGATAATATGATAAATAAATTATCAGTTCAGAAAACTTTTTGGTATCTTTCAAAAGAGCTGAGATATAAGGTCTTGAAGTTGGCGGATAAAATTACCCAAATTTTCCGGATGAGTTGGAGGAAAGAATTCTGAAGGCGTCGACGGATTCGATGGTAGAAATAAGGTTAACAGAAAAGCGGATAAGCGATTTTGGCTTACTGTACTTTCGAATTTTGGTCTTCGAGGTCCGATGACGTCACGGATTTAAATGGCTGAATAATTTAGAAAAAGTTTCTGAATTTCTGAACTTCTGATTTTCTGAATTTACCGTATGTCGTCAAATAGAAGCCCACCTCCAGAACCTTTTTAAATTCTTTAACTTTTTTTTTCTTTGAAAGGTTAGAATCTGAAAAATCTGATTCTAAACGAAGCTCAAAATCCAAGTTTTGAATCTTAGATTTCTAATATCCTTTTAGAAGTTTCAGATTCTGAAATTTCTAATTTCCCACTCTAGAATCCAATTAGCACTGAAAAAATTGATTCCAATTTCAAAATAAGCCAAGACTTTCAAGATTTTTAGAATTTCAATTTCCAATTTTAAAACGCCCGCTTTATCTTTTAACTTGGATTCAATTCAACTCTGTTCCTGTAAATGATATTGAAAAGTTGTCAACTGATAAAATGTTCATCACAATATCAGCTATATTTTATCAGGTGACCGAGTTTAGATATCTTTCACAAGAACCGATATAATTGAGCTAAAACTTCACAGTGTGGGGCCCTTCTTTTACAGGTATCTATAGTTTGAACCCAAAAACATCATTGCCCTCCCACAAAAAACACAATCCTCGTAAAAATCAAAAACTGACCGTACTCCCAAAAATTGATATTTGCACACCTGCCAATTTCGTCTGTTTAAAACCCTTCGAAATTCGTTTATTTTTTTGTTATTATTATTTATTTATTTCCCTATCATCTAAATGACGATTCTCAACTACTACTATCTTGTTATGTCATCAGATGAGCCATCCACGTCTTCTACAGTAACCCAAAAAGATAACACAGTACCCCTTTGTACTGTATGTGGTGACGTAGCGAATGGTAAAAGATACGGTACATGGGCATGTCTAGGGTGTATCGTGTTCTTTCGGAGGACCGTTTTGAGGAAAATGAAGTATAAATGTCAAAGAGAGGAAAGATGTGAGGTTACTGTAGGTGAGTTGGTTTTTTTGGGTTACTGTAGGAGCATTTGGGTTACTGTAGTTATTTCAGAAACCAGATGTGTTTGTCGATCGTGTAGGAGGAAAAATGTCTTGCTGCTGGAATGAATCCTGATGGTAAGAAGTCAGAAATTCAGAAATTCAGAAATTCAGAAATTCAGAAATTCAGAAATTCAGAAATTCAGAAATTCAGAAATTCAGAAATTCAGAAATTCAGAAATTCAGAAATTCAGAAATTCAGAAATTTCAGAAAATCAGAAATTCAGAAATTCAGAAATTCAGAAATTCAGAAATTCAGAAATTCAGAAATTCAGAAATTCAGAAATTCAGAAATTCAGAAATTCAGAAATTCAGAAATTCAGAAATTCAGAAATTCAGAAATTCAGAAATTCAGAAATTAATTCTAAATTTTCAGCCATTCAAATCCGTGACGTCATCGGACCTCGAAAACCAAAAAGTGGAAGTACAGTAAGCCAAAATCGCTCATCCGCCTCCCCGCTGACTCCATTGCTACCATCTAATCCCTCGACGCCTTCAGAATTCTTTCCTCCAACTCATACGGAGAATTTGGGTAATTTTTTCCGTCAAATTCGAGACCTTATATCACCGAAAACTTCGAGACCTTATATCTTTAAAAGATATCAAAAAGTTTTCAACTGATACATTTTTTTATCATAATATCAGCAATATTTTATCAGTTGACACAATTTTGATACCTTTAAGGGGGACCAATATATAAGGTATCAAGGTGGGCTACTGTGTTTTGTAAGAAATGTATTAAACTTCTTGTTACAGACCAAAATTTGGACCTAAACGTTTTTGTGGACCTTCAAAAAGATCAATGGGAAAATCATAAAAACCATGTGGAAGAGGAGGAAAAATTTTCAGATGGATGTGTTTTTATGAAGGTTTTCAAAAAAAATTTTAGAAATTAAAAACACATTCTTCAAATTTCAGAATACCTATCATCGTCGTGCCACGTCGTCAGATATCAACTTATCACTAAAATTAGCTATCCAAGATTCAAATTCCTTTGCTTCTCAATTCCAATTTTTTCGAGAGCTTTCCGAAGAAAATCGGATAAAAGTTTTAAGAGAATTCTCAATTGGATTCATGATTTTGGACCAAGCCGTAAGAACTAAAAATGATGCAGATCCGGGATTTTGGATTCTTCAAAATGACAGTTTTTTGGGATTACACCCAGATTTCAAATTTGAGGAAATGGACGAAAATTTGGAAAATTTGGAGAAAGAAAAGTGAGGATTTTTAATTAAAAAAGAATTGTTAAAACCTATTTTTCAGATCTCATTTTGATTTTGTCACCCAGCTAATTGACACAATTAGCGAGCCAATTAAGAAGTTG